GGGGGCTTTTTACAAGGGCCTGTAGTGACAGGACAAAGGGTAATGGGTTTAAATTGAAAGAGGGTAGAGATTTAGACCAGATATCAGGAAGAAATTCTTCCTGGAGAGGATGGTGAGGCACTGGAACAGGTTGCCCAGAGAAGCTGTGCATGCCCCATCCCTGGCTTCACTTACAGATTTCACAGCTGAAGCTGTACCATGATGAATTCCTGCCTTCGCAAGGACAGGCAGCCATACACCAACACTTTGGGTAAAATGCATGAACAAATACCCGCTTCACTGATCAATGTAACTTACCCCCTGTACTACCAACAAAAAAGGCACCCATGGCAATTTCTGTGCCTTCCAGGCCCCTTTCACAGGTGAGCTCTGACACTGCAGTTTCTAACAGTAACACAGCCTGTCTATGCATGGTCTCTTATTTCACAATATCCAAAGTCCACCAACATTAACTGCTTTGGTAAAGCAGAGACATTCTGGGAAAAATTCCATTTTACTTACTGTCCTCTTCCAAATCCTGCCCGTTAATCCTGCGTTCACACTCCTTCGGGTAATACTTCTGAATCTTTTCCCAAAGTTCCCAGTTGACAAGAGTGTTTCTACGGGCATTATATCGTGCCCAGGAAGAGACTCGACGCCGACAAAAAGGGCAACAAAGACTGGCCTTTTCAACGGTCAGTTGGAAACAAGAATTACAGAGAGTATGGTTGCATGGCAGCGTCACGGGCTCCACAAAGATCTCCATGCAAATTTGGCAGAGGCAGTCGGACAAGGAAAGCGGAGCCTTGGATTTCTTCGACATGATGACTCCAAGATGAGGAACAAGACTAGTACAACACCAGTACCTGAAAGCAAAGAGAGACAAGTATTTTACTTCCTGTAATGAATATAAAAGAAAAGAGAAAACGCTCAGTTTTACGGGTACTTTCTGAAAACATCTGTGCATTTCAGAAGTCTGCTTAAGCGGCTACTCTTGCTCACAACCCGAAGGATTCTCGACTTTCAGAGGAAGACACAGGTCTTTTCCAGAAGTCACGGAGAAACCGTAGCAGGTCTTCCTACCACAGTTCCCGCGAGTTGTAACAGATGGTTCAGGGCTAGCAAAGGGAAGGGGGAAAGAAGGTGAGAGTCCTTCCAGCCTTCACTCTCCGTTAGTGACAAGCGATGCCCACGCTTGGTGGGTATGTCATCAGTTACCTCAGCCTTCCACTCAGTCAATTGTTCAGAGCATTCGTGTCCTTCAAGAGCTGCTTCTGTATCCGGCATGTTTTGCAGGTGAAATACAACACCCCTACCCATCACAGGAGACAGGGCTCTTCCTCGTTCATCCATTTGCTTAAGCTGGGACTTAAAAATCAAAATAAATTTTGTTAGTAAAAGTAAAGAACTAACCAATGTGTTCAGCGCTTCAGCATCTTCTTGTACGGCTTAAAACGGTGGGGATCAGCCAGCCTTTCTATCACCGAGGCTCCGCACAGGATTCTTCCACTTGGCCCGGAAATGCTGTGGAACAGAAAATAAAAGACAAATGCAGCAAAAAGGACAAGAATACTGTGTTTTTAAGTTACAGGAATGTAAGAAATTCCTTACAAGCTCCATAACAGCCAGCTTCACCGAGACAGGGGATCTTTCTGAGAGAAAGACACTCATTTCAGCCACAGAGGAACTCGACACGGAGACAAATACACTTTAAGTAGGATTTTATTGGTTTTGTTCTCCCCTTGTTGATAAAACAAATCCTTTACTTCTTTAAAAAAAGAATTATGCCAGATAACGCGGAAACACCCGGGTTTACAGGGGTTTGTCAAAACACCTAACAAGTGCCCGCACACCTGTCCCGGGCTAATTTTTTGCACAAAGACGGAGAAGACACCACTTCCGCGGCCTCTGAGGACACACGCGGGGGAGGAGAGGGCAGGGCAGGGGGCA